TGCTGCCTGTGACGTTGGCATCCCCTATGAGCACTGATTCAAGTCCTGGCACTTCCCCTTCCAACCCAACTGCTTGCTAATGCACCTGGGAAGGAGGCACAGAAGGTGGCCCAAGTACTTGGGACCCTGCCACCCACGTGGGAGAGCTGGATGAAGTTGCAGGCTCCTGGTTCCAGCCTGGCCCAGCCCCAGCTGCTGTGGCTGTCTGGGGAGTGAACCAGTGAATGGAAGATCTTTCTCTCTCTCTCTCTCTCTCTCTGTAAGACTCTTTGCCTTCCAAATAAATAAATTAATCTAAAAAAACAGTAATATAGGCGTGGATATTTGGTTCAGCAGTTAAACACTCACCCGTGTCCCATTTCAGGGTACCTGGGTTGAACTCCCTACTCTAGCTCCCGACTCCAGCTTCCTGCTAATGTGGACCCTGGAAGGGAACAGGTGGTGCTGAAGTAACTGAGCTTCCGCCACCACACAGCATCCCATATAGGCATCAATTAGAGCCCTGGCTCTCCACTTCTTATCCAGCTCCCTGCTAATGTGCTAATGAAAGCACACGTGGGAGACCTAGAAGAAGCTCTTGCCTCCTGGCCCAGCCCTAGTCATTGGAGCCTTTTGGAAGTGAACCAGCAAATGGAAGATATCTCTGCCTCTCTCTCTCTCTTTAACTCTGCTTCTCAAATAAATAAATCTTAAAACATATATATCAAAATTACTTTCTTCTTTTTTTAAAAAAAATTTTTTTGACAGGCAGAGTGGACAGTAAGAGAGACAGAAAGGTCTTTCTTTGTCATTGGTTCACCCTCCAATGGCTGCCGTGGCCGGAGCACTACGGCTGGTGCACTGTGCTGATCTGATGGCAGGAGCCAGGTACTTATCCTGGTCTCCCATGGGGTTCAGGGCCCAAGCACTAGGGCCATCCTCCACTGCACTCCCTGGCCACAGCAGAGAGCTGGCCTGGAAGAGGGGCAACCGGGATAGAATCCGGCGCCCCAACTGGTACTAGAACCTGGTGTGCCAGCGCCACAAGGCAGAGGATTAGCCTAGTGAGCCGCAGCACCGGCCAAAATTACTTTTTTCTATTAAAAATTTTTCTCTTTCCTGCAGAATCTTTCGTGGTGGAAATTCTTAGCCTTCCACCTTTGTCTGCCTCAAGTCTTGTCGATGCTGCTAAGGACAGAGGTAGAAGAGTTTTACTCTTAGAGAGCTGGAATCTGGAACAGAAGTTCCCGAGAAGGCCAGTGTATTCACTAATGAAATTAAAATTTGATCCCGTAAAGCAAAAGAGCTGCCAGACACCTTTTCTCTAAACTGCCCACAGTAGAGCCCCATAAATTTTGATTGACATCGAAGTACATAGTGTACCGGCTTTTTCCCCTTAAATGAAAAATGTATGGAGAAACCGGGCTTGGTGACGGTGTTCTGGCTCGGCTGTCAAAGGTGAGTGTGGGTGAAGCTGAGATGTCCTGCCCAGACACTGGAGAGTCAGCGCTTTGAACCCTTCACATTTTCATGTGCAACCCAATGATTTTCAAACTTAACCGTACAAAGAATTGCCTGGAGTGCTCATTAGAATGCAGCTTGCTGGGCCCTAACCTTCCATTGCAAGGACACTTTAAGAAGTTCATGGAAACATGGAATGGAAAAAAGAGTTTGTTTTGCTTCCAAAGGAAAAAAAAATCCATGCAAAGTACTTTCATAAAACACATTTTTCCTGATCTTTTGGAAGACCCTCCATATGCATGGATTTCAAAAGTTTTCTGTGCCAACCCTTTCATTCCAATTTTCCATGATTTTTTAAAAAAGTTTCCTCCAGATATTTATATACCAATAGTTAAGACTTCAAAATATGTTTCTGAGGGAACACAATTCAACCTCTAAAATCATCCTAATGGGTATGAAGTGCAATCTCATGGTTTGGGTTTCCTTTTCCCTTGTGACTGATGAGATCAATCACCATTATGTGGCTCATGGATTACTTTCACACTCTGACAGAAAAATAGATATTAAAGACCTTTTCCAGAGAGGGAGGAGATGTACAGTTCGGCACACACTCCCTCGGACTTACCTCTAATGGTAGAACAAGAAATGTACCATGGGACTCCAAATCCCATTAGGTTGGCATGTACCAATGCCATCTTACTAGTTAAAGTGATCAGTTTAAGCTCATAATTGATCATAAAGATAGGATTAAGTGTCAAAGGGATCTCATAAATAATACCAGTGTCTGCTAATAATAATTGATAGAATTAAAAAAGAAAGAACGATCCAACATGAGAAGTGGGATACACAGCAGACTCATAGAAAGGCAAATGCCCTAAACAGCACTCCAGCCTCAGAATCAGCCCTTAAGGCATTTGGGTCTGGCTAAAAAGCCCATGAGAGTATCTCAGGCATGGAAAGCCAAGACACTGTGGCAAAAAATGACCTACATGAAAGATCTTTGTGAATGAGATCCCAACGGAAAAAATGGGCCATCAAAGAAGGAGGTACCTTTCTCTGAAGAGAGGAGAGAACTTCCACTTTGCATATGGCCTTGTCTAAATAAGGTTGGAGTTTGTGAACTCAAGAGGCTTCCATAGCCTTGGCAGCTCATAACAAGAGCCTAGGGTGATTACTGACATCATAAATAAGAGTGTCAATCGTTAACTCAACAATGGGAGTCACTGTGCACCTGCTCCCCATGTAGAACCTCTGTCCTTAATGTGTTGTACTATGAGAATTAATGGCAAAACTAGTCTTCAAACAGTACTTTATACTTTGTGTTTCTGTGTGGGTACAGACTGTTGAAATCTTTACTTAGTATAGAGTTGATCTTCTGTGTATAGAGATAATTAAAAATGAATCTTAATGAAGAATGGGATGGGAGAGGGAGTAGGAGATGGGATGGTTAGCAGGTGGGAGAGTGGTTATGGGAGGAAGAACCATTTTGATGACTGTGCTGGAGGCAGGGTTGCTTACCCGTGGTGAAAGCTGAGTCATTGCCAAATAAAAGCAAGCCCTGGGTAGTGAGCCTTTCAGCAGGATTCTGATGGGTCAATTAGGGACGCTTCTCTGGGGATGGAGGCTCCTGAAGAGACACAAGCTCACTCCATGCTCTGCAGTGCAGGTTGACTGCTTCTTCACAACCCTCATAGCTTCACACGCAGCTGCTGGTTTTCAAGTCTTCCCTAGACCTGGTGAGATGGAGATAGAGATAAGGCAAGTTCAAACGCTGTAACGCTCATTGCTTGAACTAAAAGTTTACCATTTTTTTTCTTGAAATAACTTTTAGATTGTTGCAAGATTTAGTTAATTTTCAGAGTTTTGCAAAGTTTTTTTCCAAAGTAATTTCACCAGTGTTCTCATTGCTTTTGTGGAGGAGTGGAACTTTGGAGTTTCTTCTCTATTCTGGAAGTGAGATCTTTTTATTGGTACCTTTTGAATCTTTTATGCATCAGATTCAATTTTCCACTCAATCTAGACGTATTATTTTGAATTGGACGTTAGAAAGACAGGAGGTTGAAATAGACCCAGTTTCCAGCCTTGAATGAACATAAACACTCTAGGCAAACAGATCTGTCCCCAGCTAACTTTCTCTTAGGGCAGGACCAGTTGGGGGCAGAGTAGGGGAGAAGATTAAGTTTTCCTTAGAGGGGTAGAGGCAGCTGCCTATGAGAACTGGGTCTTGCCTGAGTCATGACTGAAGACGTGGTTGGACCCATCTGTAAATTAGAATCTCATGGTCATGCATCCCTCGTTGCTGAAGAAAGCACCACACGCAAGAGTCAGGGGGCAGCAGAGTTCCTGTAGTTCCTACTCACTCACTCCAAGAAGTGGGGATGGGATTTCAACAGGAGGTGGGGAGGGTGGCAGCTGGGCGGTGGGTATAGTGGCAGCAAGCAGATGGCACTCCGGAGAGTTCAAGGAAGGATGTGGACTCTTTTGAAGGCACTCAGAAGGCCTTGATGGTTTTATGAAGTGTGAAATGTGAGAAATGTGTTTATGTGTTCTCAATTTGATGTAGCACTGGTGCCTGAGCATTAACGACCAGACTCCAGCACTAGCACCTAATGGACACAGATCTGAATCTTGGCAATACACTTTGCCAGCTGTGTGGACTACAGAAGTTGTATTAACCTCACTGAGATTATCTTTTGTCTGTGAAGCAGGGAGGGGAATGTCTATCTCACAAAAATATTGAACATGGGGCCAGTGCTGTGGTGTAGCGAGTTAAAGCCCCAGCCTGCAGCGTCGACATCCCATATGGGTGCTGGTTTGAGTCCTGGCTGCTCCACTTACAATCCAGCTCTCTGCTATGGCCTGGGAAAGCAGTAGAAGGTGGCCCAAGTCCTTGGGCCCCTGCACCCATGTGGGAAACCTGGAAGAAGCTTTTGGCTCCTGGCTTTGGATCAGCTCCGGCCGTTGCGGTCATTTGGGGAGTGAACCAGCAGAATGGAAGCGTGCTCTTTCTCTCTCTCTTTCTCTCTCTCTGCCTTTCTTTCTCTCTGTGTGTAACTCTGACTTTCAAATAAATAAAATAAATCTTTAAAAAAAATGTTGTACTGTGGCATGGTTGGTCGGGCCTCTGCCTACAGTGCCGGCATCCCATGTGGTTTGCAGGTTCGTGTCCTGGCTGTTCCTCTTCTGATCCAGCTCTCAACTTGTGACCTGGGAGAGCAGTGGAGGATGGCCTGGGTGCTTGGGCCCTGTGTCCAAATGATAGACCTGGAGGAGGTTCCTGGAATCCTGGCCTTGGGTCTGCCTAGCTCCGACTGTCATAGCTGTTTTAGGAGAGCACCAGCAGATGGAGGGCCTCTCTCTCTGTCTCTCCCTCTCTCTGTCTGTGACTCTGCCTCTCAAAAAAATAAATAAAATCTTAAAAATATGTACAGACTGGATGTGTAAATTACCTGGTACCTAGCTACTTACTGAGTGAGATTTTTGATTGGTAATTTTGCTCCAAAAGTATCTTAAAGTCTAATGATTCATGTTTTATTTATTTTTCATGCTTTATCTCTCAGAAATCAGGATTGTAAAAAAATACTGAACACCTTCACAAGTGCGTTTGTTTCCAAGGATCCTTGCAACATTACAAAAGAAGACTATCAACCACTGATTGATTTGGTCACTCAAACTGTTCCTTGCAACAAGGTAACTAAAGCAGGTTGTTGATTTTTAAATTTTAATAATTTATTTTTATTTATTTGAAAGTCTGAGAGAGAAAGAGAGAGAAGTACAGGTGTTCTATCTACTCCCCAATACCCACATGCCCATGACAGCTGGGGCTGTGGGCTAGGCTGAAGCCAGAAGCCCAGAACTCCATCTGCAACTCCCACGTAAGTGGCACTCCCTTAGGGGATGCAAGTGTCCCAAGCAGCATCTTAACTATAAAGGCCCATCCAAGGTAAGGGTTTTAAAACTGTGAATAAAAGCCAGAAGTCATAGTACCAAATTTTTATTAGGATGAAGGAAGAGGAAAATTCCAGACACTGGAATGTGAGTGTGGTTGACATGGACAGAGTTTGTGAGGCCATTGGGGAACCATGATATCATCAGGATTGAGGACATCTGGGGATGGGGGAGGGGTAAGAAAAAAATGAGGACAAAAAAAAAAAAAAGAAAAAAAGAAAAATTGGCCCAAGTTCAGGAAAATAACCTAAGTATCAAAGCCAACTCACAAACGCAAACAGAAGCAAACCAAGTTTATATGATTATGAAACTTTTCCTTGACCTCTGACAGCAATAAACAACAACAATGTTAATGAAATTTTGCTCTAGAATAGTGCCCTTTTTACTACAAAAGACTCTTCTTCTTTTAAAAATGATTTATTTATTTGAGAGAGCTAGAGTGGGGGGGGGGGAGAGACAGAGACAGAGAGATCTTCCATCCGCTGGTTCACTCCCTAGCTGGCTGCAGTACCCAGTGCTATTCCAGGCCAAAGCTTCATCTGAGTCTCCCATGTGGGTGGCAGGGCCTGGGAACTTTGGGTATTTTCTGTTGCTTTTCCCAGGCCATGAGCCAGGAACTGGATGAGAAATGGAGCATCCAGGACATAAACCGGTGTCCATGTGGGATGCTGGTGTCTCAGGTGGAGGCTTTCCCTGCTACACCACAAAGCCGGCTCCTACAAAGGACTCTTCCAACCCTATTGTCTTAGACCTCCACAGCCATCCAGCAGAGTAGGTAGGTCAGGTGTCAGCATCTCCATTTCACCAGTGAGTAAACTAAGGTCTGGTGAGTTTGGGTGACCAGGGATCGCCCAAGCTCAACAGGCCTGAAAGTGGCTGAAATGCAGATAGCACAAGACTTGCAGCCTGAAATGCTTTTAATACACAGAAAATAGGGAAAGGGCTACTCTACCATGTGTCTTTTCTGAAGTTAATGTTTAAGGCAAACATTCCATGTGCTCCAGGTTGTTTATGGGAAGCTTTTGAATCCATCTTCAACTCCCAGCCCCTCACCCCATTGTTGGTGGGCTGGACTTATTGTGGGACTTCTCCTTGGTCCACCAAGAAAGGTGCCTTGCACGGAAGAGGTGCTCAGCACTTAAGACCCAGGCTGATGCTGTGAATACGTGACTATGTGACAGACATTGTGCCAAGAATTTACTTGCACTTACTCTCCATAGCATCCCTTCTTCATCATCGTCATCATCATCATTTTACAGTTGTGGAAAGTGAGGCCTCACCAATGCTCTGATTACCCAGGATCAAACAGTGACTTAGTGGTGATGCTGGACTGCAAGAAGGAGTGTGACTCCAGGGCCCAGGCCTGAAGCCACCACCTTCCAGTCAGCAATGATTAGATCTGTGGCCGAGAGCATGACTCTGAAGTTGCCTTGTACTAACCTGCAAGAGGAACCTTAAAGAACACCCCAGCCTTTATCGTGTTCTCTCTCTCTCTCTCTCTCTCTCTCTCTCTCTCTCTCTCTCCCTCTCTACCTCTCTTTCTCTCCCTAGGGGAGATTTGGGGAGGGTGGAAGAAATTGTGGAGTTCTTTAAAAATCAAATAGCACTTCTTCCAGAAAATAGAACATATAAAAACTATTTTGCAGATAATTTTAGGATTCCTGGAACTCCCTGATGCTTCCTCCAGATGTGGACTGAGCTCATGTTAACTCTCAGATTTTCATCAGTGACTTGCATACCTTGTTGACTGCAACCCAGAATAATAAATTCATTTTACACTGTGACCTCAGACACACATGCATTCTCTTTGTATCTCCATCTCTCACACAGAAAGCAATTGTGAACACAATAATCTTTTTTTTTTTTTTGACAGGCAGAGTGGACAGTGAGAGAGAGAGAGAGACAGAGAGAAAGGTCTTCCTTTGCCGTTGGTTCACCCTCCAATGGCCACCGCGGCCAACGCGCTGCGGCCGGTGCACCGCACTGATCCGATGGCAGGAGCCAGGTGCTTCTCCTGGTCTCCCGTGGGGTTCAGGGCCCAAGCACTTGGGCCATCCTCCACTGCACTCCCTGGCCACAGCAGAGAGCTGGCCTGGAAGAGGGGCAACCAGGACAGAATCTGGTGCCCCGACTGGGACTAGAACCCGGTGTGCCGGCGCCGCAAAGCGGAGGATTAGCCTAGTGAGCTACGGCGCCGGCCAAACACAATAATCTTTACATTTATTCTGATATTTTATTTCTTTACAAATATGTGGATTTATTTTTTTACTAATAAATTGATCTCAATGACAGGCTGTGCTTATTCTTTCTTAGACTCTCTTTTGGAGCAGATCAAAAGAGCTGGCCCATCAGTACTCAGGGATCCAGAAAGAGATGTTCACTCTGGAGGACACGCTGCTGGGTTACATTGCTGACAACCTTGTGTGGTGTGGAGATCCCAGAACTTCTGGTAAGCACCTGGGCCTCACTGAGTGGCCCAGGAATGAACAGGGTGGAGGAGCCCTGAGCACTGCGAGGGCCCTGAGCAGTCAGGGTGGCCGATGGAGCTATGAGAACCTGTACTTATATGACAACTGTACTTATATGACAACTGAAGCCAAGGGAAAACAGTGTCCCCTAGAACATCCTTGTTTTCTTGAAAAATGGACTTTGGAAGTTGGGATTGCCCAGGCCCCTTTGATTCCCTGCTTTTTTCTGAGTGTGCATCTAGCCTGTCTTGGACTGTTTGGCATTTTTCTTTCTCTCAGGGCACATTCAGGACCAAATAATGCTACAGTGAGATGGCATCCCAGAAGGACCCAGGCCAAAGTCCTTATTTCCACAGACCCAGCATGGTAGCCCTGCACTGGCACCTCTGCATCTCAAGCCAATCTGTGGCTTTGCCTTCATTTTCCAGGTGTAGCTTTATTTTGCCCAGAAAAGCTCAAGACACTCACTTAGGAAGGTGTTTCTTTCTCTTGTCTAATTGCTCTGGCAATGTCTTCCAGTACGATACTGGATAGAAGTGGTGAGAGTAAGCCTTCTTGTCTTGTGTCACATCTTAGAGGAAAAGACTTCAATAATGACCATACAGTGTGATGTGATCTTTGGGTTTCTCTGCACAGTCTTTATTGTCTTGAGGTACCTTCCTTCAACACCTGACTCAGGTGGGAGTTCTTATTGTAAAAGGATGTTGGATTTTGTCAGCTGCTTTCTCTACATCTAATGATATCAGCATATGATTTTGTCTTTCATTCTCTTAGCGCGATGTGTCACATTTACTGATTGGAATATGGTAAACAGTCTTGTGCCCCAGGTACAAACCCCAGTTGATCATGATCCTTTAATGTATTGTTGATTTCAGTTTGCTAGTATTTTGTTGAGGACTTTTGGACCTATGTTCATCAGTGATTTTGTTCATCATCATCAATATTTTTGCTTGCACTTGGAGTCATCTCCTAATATAGGCGAAAATATTGACGAAACTAAAAAAGCAACTTAAGTGTCGATGATCCTGCAAAGCTGATGAAATCACAAGTCACCTTAGAAGTCTCATGGTGTGGCCTGGCTCTGACTTTCACCCTCCTCCTCTTCCATCATTCTCCTTTATTTTTATTTACAGATTTATTTTATTTATTTGAAAGGCAGAGTGCAGAGAGAGGAGAAACAGAGGAAGAGAGCCTGAGAGATCTTCCATCTACTAGTTCTATCCTCAAATGGCCACAATGGACAGGTCTGGGCCAGGCTGAAGCTGGGAGCTAGGAACGCCATCCTCATCTCCCACGAGTGGCAGAGGCCCAAGTGCATGGACCATCTTCCACTGTCCTGCCAGGGTTTGCCTCAGCAGGAAGCTGGGTAAAGGAGTCAGACCCGCACTGTGGAATGGGATACTGGCATCATAGGTGGCAGCTTAACTTGCTGTACCCCAAGTGGCCCTCATCATTCCCTTTCCAACCTGCTGCTCTGCAGTTCTGTTTGCACCTGTCAGGTTGCCTCCCACTCTCACTCTGCATGGAGCACCTTTCCCTGCCTTGTCTGTGTGAAGACACTGGGTCATCCTTCAAAACCAAGTTCAACATCAACCTTGATGCCATGCAACACCTCCCCTCCCCAACCCAAGCTGCTCTTTCTTTGGTCTACTTATGACATTGTATCGTGTGCTCTCTGAAGGCAGAAATCCCATCTGTTCCATCTGTCTGCTCCAGGACATGACACTCAGTAAATGCACATTAAGACAGATATCCATGGAAGAAGTGGCACGGAAAATATGTATTCAGGGTTGGGTGATGGCCCAGCAGTTAAATCACTGCGTGGGCCATTCACGTCCCATATTGGAGTGTCTGGTTTGAGTCCTGGAACCCCAGCTTTCAACCCAGTTTCTTGCTAATGTGAACCCTTGGGGGAAGTGGTGATGGCTCAGGACTTGGGTTCCTGCCATCTATATGGAAGACCCTGATCGAGGCCTGGACTCCTGGCTTTGGCCTTACCTGGCCTGACTTGTTGCAGGTACTTGAGGAGTGAACTAGTAGATGGAAGATCTCTCTCTGTCTCTCTCTGTCTCTGCCTTTAAAATAAAGTGAAAATAATTTTTTAGAAAAGAAAATTTATATTCATGCTTTATGATTATAGGACTTTAGCAAAGGCTTAGCCTGTCCCAATTGGATGAGTATGAAAAGACTTGAGATTATCTGAGCTTAAGGGTATAGGGACTTAAAGAGGTGGGGAGGAAACTCTCAAGAGAGAGAGTTGTTAGGAAGCAGAGAAGTTGTTGGTGAGAGTGACCCCTGAAGGTGCAGTTTAATCCCTGGTTCTTCTGGAACTCAGGGATAACAATGGGGCTTGCCTCTGTTGGATGAAGTTTTGCTGTCATTTCCCAGAATGTTGACTCAAAACCTGTCACTGTGTTCCCATCTGGGATCTGCAGGGTAAGGAAGGGACTTGGAAGGGATTCAGGGAACACTTAGTTAAATTGGGTTGAGATGTGTCCATCCTCTATCCTCCTTCTTTGCAATGAAGCAACTGGAAAATTGAATAGCCCAGGAAGTGGACCTTATCAATGCCTTCTTTTCACTTTAATTGTCTTCTATAAACCATGTTTTTCAGAAGTGAAGGAAGAATTTTGCCCATATCGGAATGAAAACTGCAGCAGCACTGCTACTTCTGTGTTCTGGACCGTGGTTTCTCAGAAAGTAAGTACCACGCAGTGAGATTGTGGTGCTTGCATTTAACATTTGTAGAGTTGCAGATCCTTTCAGGAATGAAAGTGCAGGATTCTTCCCTGAAGAAAATGTTCAGAGCCACATGCCAGAAATTTTCACATTTGACTTCAGGACATTCGTGGAGGGTCTGTGGGCTCCAGTTGAAGGACCCATGTCCTTACCCATGCTGCCAGGAAGCTCGGGCTTGCTTTAATCCTCTGACCCAGTTGCAGGTGATTCTTAGAGTCCTGGAATAGTTGCAATCACTAACATTTATAGGTCACTCGCTACGTACTAGGTGTAGTCTTCAGATCTTGATGTGAGCTGAAGAATTCCCTCTTCCCAAGAACACTGTGAAGTAGTGGCTGTGAGTATCATACTCCTGTTACAGATGACGACATGCAGGTGCAGGTAAACAAGCAATCACCTAAACGTACACAGTCAGCAAATGGCAGATCTGGGAGTTCACCCCAAGGTTACTCTAGGTCCAGCATCTGGGCTGGAAAACACGTGCATGCCTTGCACCCCCACCCGTTTCTGACTTCACTCCAAGCTGCATATGCCTATTTTTAAAAATGTTGCTTTTTTGCAAGTAGACAAGGAAAAAAGAAAAGAAAGGAAGGAAAAAGGAAATAAAAGAGGAGGAAAATATATTAATTATTATTCCCCCAAATGAAACTTAGGCTCTTGAGGAGCTGGGGCAAGAAATTGGAAACTAACATTGGTTAAATGCATGTGTCTTAGTCTATTGGTGCTGCTGTAACAAAACACTTAATTTTATAATTTATAAAGAATACAAATTGATTTTCTTACAGTTCTGAAACTCAAGGTCAAAGTACTCTGTGGGGAGCAATCTGGACTGGACTGAGTTACTGGAATTAAGACTTATTCTATGCATCTGCTCTCCCACAATATGGCGCTGGGAGAGAAGTAAACAGCTTCTACACAGGTGCCTCCAGTTCAACCAATAAACTGTAGGACTTGCTCCTGATTGGAGAGCAGCGTACTCGGTGTGTGGGCAGCCGAGTTAGGATTGGCAGAGGAGGACTATAAAGGAGGAGAGAGACGGCATGCACCAGGAACATCTATGGGGAACATCTAAGGGAACCCGTGCAGCCCCCGAGAAAGCCGGCCGGCGGTGTGCCGCTCCCCTGCGGAAGTGGGGAATGTGGCCAGGGGGAACTGCCCTTCCACGGAGGTGGAAGGGATAGTAGCCAACCCGGGAAGAACCAGCAGCAAACCCGGGGAGGGCCGAGCAGACGAAAGAACAGCGCAGGGTCCTGTGTTGCTCCTCCACGAAGAGGGGGAGCGACATAATGGTGCCGTGACTCGGATATGAAGCCTAGGCAGGGCTTAGTGTCGTTCCCCCATGAAGACGGGGAGCGACAGTACTCGAAGAGTCCATGTCCAAGATGATTCCTTCTTGTTGTGTACTCAGCCTGCAAAGGGGTGAACACTGTGTCATCCCATGGCGGAAGGCAGAAGGGCAGAAAGGCCCTAGCTGGTTCCTTCAAGCTAATTCCATTCATTATAATCCCATTCACTACAATGGAGTCCCAGGGCCTAACCATCTTCTAAAGTCCCTACCTCTTAGTATTGTTGCATTGGATCTTGGATTCTCACATGGGTATTTTGGAGGAACACATCTCCAATCATAGCAGAATATTTGTGACATTCCTTAAGTCATTTCCATTTCATCCTTAGGTAGCACCAGAAGGTATAAATCTCCATGTTAAGGCTAAAGAAATTGAGACTCAATGGTGAAGTGGCTCATCCCTGGTCACTGGGCTACCAGGTAGCTAAGCTAGGATCCTAATGTAGATCTGCTTGACTTCAGATCTGTGCTCTTCAATTTTATTTTTTGCAGCTGCTTACTGGTTCTGTCTTTTATGTGGATCATTTGACTATATTAACTTTCATGCTCTTCAATTTTTTTTTTTTGTGTGTCTGTCTTTTAAATAGCACATTTGATGTTTAACTTCCTGTTGGTATCTAACTGAACTTCCTTGTACTGTAAGGGGTTTCAGGCAAACCCTGGTATGGCAGAGACAGGATATAGCTCTGGAGGTGGAATAAAGAGATCACATTTAAAATGGGCAGATTTCTTAGCCATTCTGACCCTAAGATTCCCCACTTGTCAAATGGAGATCACTACCTGCCTGTTCCATAGGGTTACTGCAATGTTTAAACAGGATACCAATATCCTATTAAGTAACTCGGAATCCATCTATTTAACACGTAGTGAGGACTTACTGTGTGTTGTGAAGTCAGGGGCCCTATTTAATTTTTGTTTGCTTGCCTGCTTTTTCTGAGAATAGTTCCTACATATTTCATCACTGTAAGATATGCTTTAGGGCAATGATATTGCTACAAACCTTTAAAGCCAGGAAACATTTCACATGTACCAAGCACCTACTTGTGATCCTTATTCCATCCTTAATCCTAGGAGTACAATGGTGACTGTGATTGAATATTCCCTGTTGCTGTGAACTACTTTGGTTCCTGTACCTTACTCTTTGCAAAGTGTTTGTGGATGTATGTGAATGGCCCTTTATTTCTCTGACAATCGAAGCGACATTGCTTGGTGGTTCAAATTGCTTCCAAGATATGTGATCTTGAGGCAAAGTGACCCAATACTTACATTATAGGGGCTGTTGTGAATTCTGTCGTATGGGGCCCATACTTGCCACCTATTCACATTCTCTGAGTTAGCACCTGTGATAAATAATGACAGTGGAACCTCTTCAGTCCTTCATCATCCCTAATGGAAATACAGAGGCAGCACTGGATTTCACAATTCAATGTAAACTCCTTTGGTGGTGTCACTGTCACATGCAGAAAAGAGTCTAGATGCCCTGGCAGTGTTTATGGCCCTCAAACAACTTATTGAACCCCCCTCCTTTCTTCCATGAGTTTTTATTGGGCATCCAGTCTGTGACATGTGCCAGGTATGAGGCACCCAGGGCAGCAGAGGTAAGTGGGACAGCCCTACTCATGGCTCTCACGGAGCCCTTAGTACTGGTAGCTAAGTGGACATCAGTCTCATTGAAATGCAACCTAGTTAGATCATGTGAAGGGGAGCTGGGCTGCTGTCAGGGTTCAGGTCAGTGAGACTGGAGCTAGTCCTGGGGATCTGGGTAGGACTCCTGCTGAAAGCATGTAGATTATTTCCATTTTGCTCATTTTGGTTTGGCCAATGCCTAGTGAAGACTTCAGATAAATATTTGTTGTAGGAGAAATAAAACTCCTTGCTCATCTCATTCCATGATTCATTCAGCCCTCCCTTTCTCTGTGCCTTTCTAGGCCTTGGGGTCACTTTCTCTTGTCTCCTGTGTCCTTTGTCTGTGATATTCCCCTTTCCTGGATCCCTAAATTGTCCACTATGCTTCCACTAAATGAAATGAGTCTACCAGACCAAGACAGTAGGACAATACTTTGATCTTCCTCTTCTACACATTTCTCTTCCTCATCTGGACTTTGGACTGCTGAACTGCCGAATTTAGCTACCCTGTGAACAATGGCATTGGTCTTCATTGTTCAGACATGTACAGAGTGGAGTAACTGCTTCAAGTACTCTGACATGAAGTGTAATCCCGCCAATGGTTTGGAATGAAAAGAAATAGAACCGGCACTCCTATACTCCAACCCTCCAGGATAGTCCTTCTTCAACCAGCTATGTACTAAGCACTGCATTGGATGGAATGCCTGGGGGCATGGTGATTAAGTTTGCATGCTGAGAAATGGCGGTCTGTTTTTTTTCTTCCAAGTTTGCAGAATCTGCCTGTGGTACGGTCTATGTGATGCTCAATGGGTCCGGAACTACAGCCTTTAGCAAAGCCAGGTACTCATTTCTTTACAACCTATTTGCAAGGGTTATCACGGCCTTCTGTTGGACATTTAGTCCCTAGAAAGAACATGCTTTTCATTTTTCAGGTCAGTTCTGGAGATCTGAGCTAAAAGAGCTAAGACCTTTATTTCCTCTTAAGAGAGAGTTCTTTCAGAGTCAATGCTTCTGCCTGATTTCGCTTTTGCCTAAAATCTTTCAATGGTTCTGCAAGCCATTGCACTGTATCCAGCTGCTGCTCCTGACTGCTTGAGACCTGGTGTAATTTTCTAAGCTTTCTTTCCTGTTACACTCCACCCGGCCCATTCTCCTCCTCTGTTCACACTGTTCCCCCATACAACTTGTCTTTCCTTCTTGCTTCTGCCTGTCTCTGCCCTCACCCTCCCTGGAGGTCTGACCTGACTTTGAACTCCACCATGAAGAGTGTGGATCCCAAGGAAGCAGTAGAAGTACTGTGGGGAACATCAGGAAGCGCTCTGGGCTCTTGACTTTCCTGATCTCTCTGCTTGCGTTGTCAGCAGTGGCCTGTCGTGGGTAAAGGAGGGGACGGCAGAAGTGCTTGGGCAGGGCACCTGTCCTCTGTGAGACCCTGTGTATTCGTAAGCCCTAGAGAGAGTGGTGATGTGAGGGTTAACTGAGATAATGTCTGAAGAATGCTGAATTCTGTGCCTAACAGAGAAGATGCCCAATGCACTCCAGTGCTGACTCCCTCCCGTTATCCACACCCAGGGAGATGAGGCCACACCCACGCTGACCTTCTCAGACCTCCTTCTGCATTTATGCTATTTTCCATTTTGTTTACATTTTTGGCCTTTGTTCTCCAGTCTTTCCCCTGACGCAGCTGATTGAAAAGAGGGAGAATATATTAACCTGTGCTGGGCGCACTTGCTACCCCAAAGTGATTTTCCCTCTCTCCTGTTTTAATATTTCAACCCACAAAGAAGTATTTGTCCTTTTCACTTCTTTTGACCCCAAACTTAAAGGCTTTTGGGTGAAAGTGTTAACATTACAGGATTTTATAATCTGGGATTAAGGACCTAAGTACCTGCACCAGGTGAGGCAGCCATCAGAGCTGAGCAGGAAGGAGTTAGCAGTGGGGTTGGGAGAGACCACCAGCGTCTGCCAAAGCAGAGCTTGGACTTCAATGGGCATGTGGATTGCCTGGGGATTGTTCACTTGCCTGTTAATTCAGCAGGTGGTCATGGGCTGTGGTTCTGCAGTTCTAACTCCCTCCCAGGGATGTGTAATAGGTTGGTCTAAGAACCGCTCTTCAAGCTGCAAATCATTGAAGAAGTCAGCATCAATGTGCAGATTGAGAATCTTGTTCATTCAGAGATCACCTTGCAGGGGAAGCCGTATCTGTTTCTTTCTTTTTTTAATTTATTTTATTTATTTGAAAGACAGAGTTACAGAGAGAGGTAGAGACAGAGAGAGCGGTCTTCCATCCATTGGTTCACTCCCCAGATGGCCTCAATGGCTAGAGCTACGCCAATCTCAAGCCAGGAGCCAGAAGCCTCCTCCAGGTTTCCCACGTAGGTGCAGGGGCCCAAGGACCTGGGTCATCATCTACTGTTATCCTAGGCCATAGCAGAGAGCTAGATTGGAAGAGGAGCAGCCGGGACTAGAACCGGTGCCCATATGGGATGCTGCCGCTTCAGGCCGGGGCTTTAACCTGCTGCACCACAGCTGTGTCTGTTTCTAATGTGAATCCTAGGTGATTCCCAAGGGTTCTCATTAAGGCGTCCTGCCTGCTGGCTTTTGACGGAAGGTATGGATGACCTCAGACTTCAGTTTGGGGTTGACATGTTCTCTTTCTCTTCTATTGCAGCACTTTTGGAAGTGTGGAAGTCTTCAATTTGCACCCAGACAGGGTTCATACACTTCATGCCTGGGTGATGCATGACATTGGAGGAGTTGAAAGGTATATTTTACTACTCACACTTTGTACCCAGGGGTTATTTTATGAATCAGTTCATTGAAGAACCCAGTCATAGAATGGCTTGGGAGGCTACTGGCTCAGAACATTATTCCGGCCATCCCAACAACCTCTCATTTTTATCTCTGCTCTTAGTGTAGCACCGCTTCATACCTTCCGCTCCCCTGCTCACCTGCGAGCTCACAGAGATGCGCCTCTCCTTCTGGGGAACCGAAACGAGAGACTCAGCAGATGTTCACAGAGCTTGTTATTTTAATCCCGTCCTCTTTTTGCCCCCAGGGACTCGTGCTTAGGTTCCTCCATAAAGGAGTTGAAATCGATCGTAAACCAGAGGAACATTTCCTTTTTCTGCCAGGATGACTACAGGTAACTGATTTCTTCATGGAGAAATGGCTGTCTTGCCATCTGTAGGCCTTTGCCCTTCTGCTGATCTGTTCTGAGCTGGGAGGGCTGTGTGACTGCTTCTTGGGCCTTGGTGGTGGTCTCAGGTTGGACTAGGATGATGTCTGTCCCTACCTTAGGGTAGCTGGTGGCCTTTGCTTGGCCATTTTGGGCCCACCTTCCCTGCCAGGCTGCACAGAATGACTTGCCCATGAGGCTGGCCCAGCCTGTGGGTGTGTGTGTCCTGGTTTCTAGGGTGAGTGACCCTGCCTCAGGCATACGGGCCTGCCATGTTTTGCCACAACCTTTCCCTCAAGTTGTGAAATTCTCGTGTCATAGAATAATTTTGCATGTGAAATGTCCTCAGTTGGTTCTGGGTATAGATGCCCCTAACACTTGGTACGTTGCTACATGGCAGTCTGCTAAGATTTATCTTTTTAGAATTAAAAAAATAAAATCTTACAATCTTTTTCTAGTATTCCATGTTTGTTAGGAAAAGTTTAAAATTACTGACAAATATTATTTTTTTAAAAAAATATTTATTTATTTGAAAGTCAGAGTTACAGAGAGAGGGAGAAACAGAGAGAAGAGAGATCTTCCATCTGCTGGTTCACTCCATAGATGGCCACAACAGCCAGCTCTGGGCCAGGCCAAAGCCAGGAGCCATGACATTCATCTGGGTTTCCTACCTGGGTGCCAGGGACCCAAACACTTGGGCCATCTTCTGCTGCTTTTCCCAGGCCACTAGCTGGGAGCCGGATCGGAAGTGGAGCACCCAGGACACAAACCAGCGCCCATATGAGATGACAGCTGTAAGCAGTAGCTTTACCCACTATGCCACAACACTGACCCCTAAGTATGTATTTTTAAAGTCACCTGGGAGCCCACTCATTAATTTTAAAAAAAATTTGTTTGAAGGGCATGGGTCAGGGTGGGGAGCCAGAGAAAGAGAGATAAAGAGATATCTTCCATATGGTTGTTTACTCTCCAAATGTCCACAATAGCCAGGGCTAGGCCAGGCCAAAACCAGAAACCTGGAATTCCATCAAATCTTTCACATGGATGGCAGATACCCAAGTATTTGAGCCGTCATCTGCTGCCTCTCAGGGTGCTCATTAGCAGGAAGCTGGAATCGGGACTCAAACCCAGACACGGTGACATGTACTGCAGACATCAGATGTGCCATCTTAACCACTGGGCTGTAATGTCTGCTCCACCCCCATTTGTTTTTAAATTATGTGGCCATTGATGTAGGTAGCGACTTCTTGATAGAAAAATCATTGGAGATTTTCCCATGTGCAATAGCTTAGAGCCAGACTGATGCACAGAAAAAAAGATTTTCAATGAATGTAGAAGCTGAAATGCTAGAACAGTTTTCCTGTCCCCTTTGCATCACCACTCGCTCCCACTAACCACATCACAAATGAAGAAGGCGAGTTTCAAGGGACTCTGTTGGCTCTTGCTTCCCCACCAGTCAACGGGCTCTTGTCTGGGAACTGCCAGGAAATCACGTAAGCCTTCTGTGGCAGGCAGCTTGCTGGGAAACACAAAGAGAAGAACAACTGTGAAAGAAGCCTCACACACATCGAGAAGCCTGTTACTGGAAGGGGTTTGCATGGAGACAGTAGGATACCAGAGTCCTGGGAGGCGGGAGGAAGGAAGATGAGGCTCATTCTCAACTTTCTTGTATTTTTCCCCTGTTTCTCACTAATGGCCAGAAATCCTTTATATTAAAACCCATCAACTGTGCCTACCCCAGGTTCCAGGTGAGCTCACACATTCTCTTCTGGAAAGAATAGCTTCCAGGTGGACTTGTACAGATAGTGGCCCACATAGGAAGCAAGTCATTTGTGTACCAATGCCAGCCACTGAGAGCCTCAGATCATGTGGCCTTAGATTCAGAGGCCATGTTTGAAATCACTATTCATTTTCTCCAACCATGATGTCATACTATATTCACCATGATTTTTTGAATTATTACACCTGTGGGACCCCTTGTGGTGTTGAGGAGTGGTATGACTCTAGGGGGCTCAAAGTGAATGCCATGGTGTAGACATGACCCGTAGTTCAACTCTCCTTATCCCAAATGTACCTTCTGACTTTTGTCAGATGTCAGCAAACTTTTGTCCAGATGTTTTAGTGTGATTATTATATAAGTAAACAGAAATGTGGTTACACTAACATAGATTAGACCTCCTGATAATCTGATAGCTATATAACAAATCCCCCCACTCAGAGGCAAACACTATTGACACTCGGCTGTAAATCCTCCAAGAATTTCTCTGTTTTTACTATATACAAACTCATAGTTCTCATATTATATGTATAAGGTTCTTAACAAATGTTTTAACCAGTGGAATCAATAGAAGGTAACCCTACTTTGTTGGGTGACCTTAAAAGCAGCAAATGGTCAGTAACTTTATCTGTTGAGTGCCCCCTAGTGGTTAATTAAAAAAAAACCAAAGGGCACCTTGACGGTTCTGTTACTTCAAAATAACACAGTCTCTATTCTTCAGAATGTTACACAGCGTATGAAAGGTGTGTCCATTTTAGGAGAACATGTGACATAATAATTTACAAATTTATGGAGGGATATTGAATGTGACATAATTTTTACAAATTTATGGAGGGATATCGTCTTACCAGCATAACTACTGCTTCTTAGAATACAAATGAATTCTCAAGCAATTAGATATTATAATTAAGAAGCATGCTTTTATCCTCAGTTGATATAGATATAAGTCTGCTTTCAAAATCCTGAATGGTCTTAGGAAAATTCCTCTCCCAAAGTGGTATTTTCTTTCAGAAAACACACATTTCCCCCTAGAATGCTTTCACGTGGGTGGCCTCAGGTGACCTGCTGGTGAGGAGGAAGTGACTCTGTGCCTGGAGCCACTGTGCCAGCTGGCCTTGGCGATGGAGTGGAGATGATCCTGAGAGGACCATCCCAAGGCCAGGTTCTAACACTTTTCCCTCCCAGTGGCGCTGCATCTAAACATGGGTCTCGTCCTTGCTTTACGCTTAGCACAATCAGATTCAGTTCCAATTCAATGAACCACTTTCCCCAGTGTCCATCCAGCATCCTATAGTCATGCACCAGGGACTCCCATTACACCCTTTTGCTTTGTTATCTCCAAAAACCACAGTCATTCCTCTGTTAGATGCATATGTAAGGTTTGTTTGTGCAAAAGAAATGTGTCCTCTGGTGAAAGCTTCCAGCCCTCTCCCCGAGGCTGGACTGCCTCTGACTCAATGTACCTTCCGGAAACTTCTGAAGAGAGGAAAGCAAATGGTCCACAGAAACCAAAGGCACCCCATCCAAGTTGCTGCTTCTGCTGTTTCTTGATCATCAGCGGGTATTGATAGTGCACATCTATGACACATTAGAGTCAGGTGTTTCTTTTCACCGCCATTGTGTTACCATCCAGCAGCCCTTCTCAGTATTTGCTTCCACAGCTTTATAAGTGGAATGAAATCAAATTGGGCCACACTTCAGTTTGTCATTCCTGGAGTAGATCTTTCTCAGTGTTGTCACTGCCAGAGAGGACCTGTGTGGATGCTGGGTGGTCCATGCACACTTTCATTGCTAATGAAGGGGCTGCTTTTATTGGCAAATTGAACCAGAGGTGCGTCTCATGCTGTATCTCCACCTCTGCTTTTGCTTTCTTTTTGTAGGCCTGCCAGGTTTGTCCAATGCGTGAGACATCCGGAGCATCCGTCTTGCAGCGTCCTGATGTGAGCCCACTGCCATGGTGCCTGGATCTTCAGCCCCCCTGTTCACATCAACACGCACAACACCAGATGCACAGGTGCAGAGCAGATGTGGAGGAGGGTCTCCCGCCAAGATGTGAACACAGAGATGGAAATCTTTTCCTTCAAAGGCTTGAAATAGTTTATGTTATTGGCATAGCTTTTATTGTAATCTGCAGACACTCAAAAGTATTATTGTACAAATTTAGAATGAAAATTTTATACTGTTATTTCATGTTCATGTGACACTTTTATGTTGTTTTTATGTTGGGAACATTCTTTCTATTGAGAAAAAACCATACCAAACCTTTCTTATTAGACCAGACATGGTCTATATATTTTATAGCCTTCCTACAGATGGTCAAACTGTAAACTCCATAGTTATGGGTTAAGTTGGGATTATCCCTTGGAAAAATTATTTTGTAGGATATTTTGTGGAGGATGTTTTACCTCTAACCCTTCCTAGAGCTCCATGAGCTTGGTATTATTATCTTCCATTTTTCAGATGAGAAAATGGGAGTTTAGAGTAGTTACATGATTTACATAAAGTTATCCGTCTAGAATCAAGGTAGAGGCTGGATTCTCACAGCTGTCCATCTCTGAAGTACAGGTGCTCTCTCCTTCTAGGTCTGTGATAGACTAGATATGACAGACAGTATATTTATATTTTCTCTTCCAACACATGCATGTAGCATTGAATTGAACACAATAGAATCTGGAATGTGATCTTTCTGGATGGCTTCATAACAAATACCTTCCCCTCCTCCTCCTTCTCTATTCCTGTTCAGTGAGTCATATATGTTGGTTGTACTTCAGTGGCAATTTATGCATTCTCCCTTCTTGTTTTGGATCCATCATACTTGGGACTCATATATTTTGCTACTATTTCAAAGAACTAACTTACAGCTCTATTGATTTTTTTTTATTAAATTGCTTTTTGCTCCTCTCTTTATTATTAGAAATACAAAAATTCCTTTGAGTTTGAGTATTTTTATTCAGCATCTTGAAATGAAAGCTTGGATCACTGATTTTTCAGCCTATCTTCTTTTCTCACACATGCAGTTTAGTCTATAGATGTTTCCTGAGCTCTGTATTAGCTGTAGCTCTTTAAAAAAATGGATTTGAGAAGCATAGAGAGATAGACATATAGAAATATAGATAGATAGATAGATAGATAGATAGATAGATAGATATGTCTTTCATCCACTGGTTCACTCCCCAACTGTACCCAACAGCTAGGACTGGCTCAGGCCAAAGCCAAGAGCCAGGACCTCAATCCAGGCCTCCCATGTGGGTGGCAGGAACCCAATTACTTGAGTCATTACCCATTGCCCCCCAGGGTTGGCATTATCAGGAAGCTGGAGTCAGGTGCTAGAGCCAGATGTTTTGATATGTAATGTGGGTGTTTAAACCAGCCCATTAACTACTAGTCTGAACACTCACCCTGCAGCTACAGCTCTTGAGTTTTATTATGTCCCTTTCAATATCATTCACTTAAAGATATTTTCTAATCTCATTGTTATTTAGAAATACATTCCTTAATTTTCAAAATTCAGACTGTCTAGTTTTTTTAAAAGATGCACATGTTGAATGAAGAATTAAACTGATCAGACTTCTCTGGGGGAATCTGCTTAGTTTGTTGACAATGGAATAAATGTTGAAGTCAGGTTTTTCTTGCTCATTATCTCAGCATCACACTGTGATCTTGAACAAAATACCTGAGCTCTGTGAACTTCAGCTTTCTTTCCGCTCCAATAAGGACTGTAGCCTTACCCACATTAAATGTGGAGAGTATTAAAGATGGTGGCAAACGCTGCCCATGCAGCACAGAGCCTGCATCTCAGCAAACACCCGGCCTCTGTGGGCTCCTTTCTGCTCCCACACTTGGCAATCCAGTCTCCTTCAGAAGCACTTGCAGCTCCAGCCACCATGATGGACTCCTCCCTTGCCCCTCCCACGTAGGCAGACCTTCATGGGAAGTTAGGGCTGGCTGGACGTGGGGGTGGGTGTCTGGGGCCAGTGCTGGGTGCACCTCAGACTTGCTCCAAGTTCAGTGAACAGCCCCTGCAGAGCATCTTCATAAACAAGCCCTTGCCAGTGGGCTGGGTAGCCTGGCTGTGCTCCTCTCAAGCCCCATGGCTGATTTCTGCACACACTTGTGTCTGTGCTCACCGGGGTACCCTTTGAAGTAGCTGCCTGTGCCAGGAAATTTTTTTTCTTCACTTTTCCTTCCACAGATGAAATAGGTAGAGTAGAAATCGACCTATGAGACTTCCTTCAAGAAGACCCACGTGAATGTTCAAGTTCAGACTTAGTGGAGGCCTTGAGGCAATGAGGGAGGAGGCCACAAGAGGCCCTGGTGAGCCATGGATGTGGCTCATGGACTGGGTGCTTTCTCCTTATACCACCTCATGTATGGCCATGTGCCTGCCCCTTTTCTCTCCGTAGTTCCAACTTTGGGTACCTCTGATTATTGAGCATGCAGCCATCTCTGGCCCAAAGACTTCCTGGTCTTCAACTAGAACTTCCGTTGGCTTTGACCTTACCCCTTTCTGTGCCTTTCTTAGCTCTTGTTTGGAACAGACTCAACTCATGTCTGTGCCTTCTGTGACATGGAGGACACTGCTCAGCTTTGGTTCCCTTTCTGATGTCCTTTTCCTCCTTAAAATGATTCCTGAATCTGTGACTTGAATGTCTCAGGAAGACCCCTTAGTACACAAAAGGGCTGTGTTCTTGTGGATTGTTGAAAAGCAAGTAGTTATATGTACTGAGTAGTTTTTATGTATGACAAGTAAAGTTAGTTTAAAGTACAATGTTAAAGTATACCTGCAGTAACATTAAAAGGTATTTTATAAATTCAATGTTAACCCAGACATTTAAAATAGATTTAAAAAATAATTACTTTACTTAACACTACTTTGGAGTCATCACTTTAACATATTGTTTTGAACAATCCGTTAAGAACTCTTTAGCTGATTGCCACCCTGGGAGGGCCATGGTCAGCTGGTCTTCTACTTCCATACACAAAACACAGAAGGCTTTGAACTCTAATAGAACATTTGTTCTTGAACTTGGTGCACACAGGTACACATTGCCATTGTCATCCTCTGCTTGGATTGCCAGGTCGCATGAGGTAGTAAAAGCCATGGGCTTAAGAGACAGGTGACCCACTGAGCAAGTTCAGTATCTATGAATCTAGTCTGGAATATATTGGTAACACAGAAATGAATTATAGAAACAATAAAAGAATACTACAGGACTTTGTGTCATCATCCTTCCGTAAGATAGCTGTCCCTGGGCTTGAAGGTGGAATTAAGGACTTGTTGAATTGGTGGTAGCCACCAAAGACAGCAGGATCTCCTCTCTACATCTAAAGTTCAAGTGAGTTCATACCTGGAGAGAGCAGTGACCATCTTGCTGAGTGTGTCTATTGAGTGAGGGAGGTGGGAATAAGTGTCTTACTCTCCTCTTTTTCAGTTGAGAGGCTAAAGAAGAATGTTAGTTTCTTTTCAGTAAGTCTCAGGTTTGAGAATCACACGATGACATAACTTTGTTCTCCATTAAGAAAACTCACGTATAGACCAAGATGTAAGGTAATGACACAGCAAAACGTCTGACTCCTAATAAGTGACGTTAACTGTGAAACAGCGTTGAAAGGCTTGATGTAAAATGCAGGCCTGCAGAGAAGAGAAAGCTAGCACTTACGGTGCTAGGCGTTCCATGTATCGTAGCAACCCGTGACTCCAGTTGCGAAAACAGAATACAGTTTGTGATGAAAATAAAACATTTTGAGTATTAGGAGCTTATACTCTCAGGAAGGAAGCTGCCCAGTCAAGAACAACAACACCCCAGGTGCTCCACTTGCAGGTCAGGAAGAAAAGTCTGCTTGTGCTGCAGATAATCGGCTGTCCGTCCATCACTGCCAGACCACACAGCCAAAGCAGTTTCTGGGAACAAAAGAAACAGGCGAGAACGGTACAGGGCGCATGGCGGGTGGTGCCTGCTTCCTTGCTGGGCCAGTTTCAGATTCATGCTTACACAGCTATGTCTGGGGTATAGGGCCTGATACACAAGAAATGCTCAGATCAGACCTCAATTTTTCTGCTCATAAAATAGGATTGATAACAATGCCTACATCCTGAGTTGTTCTTTTTGTAGTAAAATAACATTTGTAAAATTCTTAAGATTGTGTTTAATGCATGAATAACTTGGTCACTGTTATTTTTTTTTGGAAAATGGAGTCTGTTTATATTCTGGAAGAACTGTCTTGACAATAGCCTACTCGGTTTAGAAGCTGAGACGCTGAGACTATGGGGGCTACGCTGAAGACAGCAGGGAAGGGCCCTCCTGCCAAACAGGATTAGGCACAATCTCTCTCCAGCTTTCAATCATCCAGGAGGGTTAGCACCTTCCCACCTGAGTGAGAAATGGGCAGTTATCCTCCTGTGGCTTTCCACTAAGAGTTAGCGCCTACCGTAAGCTGGGTGTCAACAAAGGGTAGCGACAGAACTCCTCAGCTCCAAATATAAGAAGTTAACATTTGTCATTGTCGTCCTTCAAGCTGCCCAAGAAGAGTTCAACACCTCCGTTGGTATTGCCAGTCCAAGCACCTGCTCTCCCTCTCCTGACCAGGGTGGTGCTCTACTGAGAGCAAAGGCGTGGCGTCCTCCTTGGTGGAATGAAATCAGAAGTGCGTGCTGGCAGTAGAACTTCTCTCCCTTGCAATCAGCTCACTGAAAGAACACTGGGAAAGGGTAGGAGCTAAGAAATGTAGCAGCTGCACCACGCCTGCAGTACAAGACAGAAATTTCCCTTGCAGAATAATCCTTCATAATCAGCCCAGTCTTCAGAGGCTCCTCGGGTGCCCTTCTGCTGTCAGTATTCTAGAACAGCGAGTCCATGCTGCCGATGGGATCATTTTAAAGAAGTGTTCTTTTAAAGTTTCATCCATGACCATTAGCATGTCAAATACCTTCACAATAAAAGTTGCACAGTAGACGCTTCTGGAGTAATTTGTTGCAGAATCATGTGAGGATCCTAGAACACAACAGTCGCAGGTCAGTGCCTGAGCTCCAGGTGAAGAAAGGAGTCCTTTTGCTGTGTATCAGAGAGGGCTGATGTTGGACTGAGCGTGTTTTGGAGTCAGGGTTTGTCTCACTCTGTTCTCCCTTTGCTATCACGAAGCCAAAGAACACCCACAAACAGAAATGTGGGGATCACCAACTGTCCCTTACTGCCTGTTCTTTTTTTTTTAGAAATGTTTCTGTTTTTGCCATTTAAAATTTTTGAATATTATTTGAAAGACAGAGAGGCTTACTCCCCAAATACCTGCAACACCCAGGGCTGTGTCATTCCAAAGCCAGGATCCTGGAACGTAATCTGTGTCTCCCATGTGGTTGGCTGTGACCCAACTACTTGAGCCATCATCAGTTGGCTTCTAGGACATGCATTAGCAGGAAGCTGGAATTGGAACTGGAGATAGGACTGAAACCCAGGCAGGGTGATATGGGATGCAGAAGTCCCAAATAACATCCTGACTGCTGTGCAACATGCCCTACCTCCCCCTTTGTCCCCATCACCATTTTTTTTTTTTGACAGGCAGAGTGGACAGTGAGAGAGAGAGACAGAGAGAAAGGTCTTCCTTTGCCGTTGGTTCACCCTCCAATGGCCACCGCGGCCGGCGCACCACGCTGATCCGATGGCAGGAGCCAGGTGCTTCTCCTGGTCTCCCATGGGGTGCAGGGCCCAAGCACTTGGGCCATCCTCCACTGTACTCCCTGGCCACAGCAGAGAGCTGGCCTGGAAGAGGGGCAACCGGGACAGAATCCGGCACCCCGACCGGGACTAGAACCTGGTGTGCCGGCGCCGCTAGGCGGAGGATTAGCCTATTGAGCTGCGGCGCCAGCCCCCCCATCACCATTTTTAACTTGATCCTGACTTTCCAGCTATAGACTTCAGCTGCAACTGGCTCTGGCCAATAGGATGTTAGTGGATATGAATAACACACTGTCAGATCATCTTAAATATAAAACCACTTGCCCTGGACTTCCTTTGTTTCTTTTTTCCCTTTCATGAGAACCAGTGTGGCAGCAACAGCAGTCTTGGACCCAGAGATGGAAACCATAGGAAGAAGATGGTGAATATGAAAGGTTTTAGAGAAAAAAACTTCTCTTTTCCTTTCCCCATCCTGATCTACTTTCACCTAGAATCTCAGTTCCATGATGGCAAGACTTGGTCTGTTTTGCTCATTGCTTTATTTTCAACCCCAGATTAAAAATTCAGGAAGGGCCGGCACCACGGCTCACTAGGTTAATTCTCCACCTGTGGCACCGGTACCCCAGGTTCTAGTCCCGGTTGGGGCGCCGGTTCTGTCCCCGTTGCTCCTCTTCCAGACCAGCTCTCTGCTGTGGCCCGGGGAAGGCAGTGGAGGATGGCCCAAGTCCTTGGGCCCTGCACCTGCATGGGAGACCAGGAGGAAGCACCTGACTCCTGGCTTTGGATCAGTGCAGTGCCGGCCGTGGCGGCAATTTGGGGGGTGAACCAACGGAAGGAAGACCTTTCTCTCTGTCTCTCTCTCACTGTCTAACTCTGCTTGTCAAAAAAAAAAAAAAAAAAATCAGGAAGATTTACTCTGAGAGCTCCTGTCTGCATATGATCATCGTGGATCCTCGCCTTTGCACTCCAGTTCCCTTTGCTGGCTTTGTCAGCCTTTCCGCTGAATAACTGATTTCCTGAGTATTCACTCATCACCAGTCTGAGCCGACTTTTCTAGGAGCGAGGAGATGGAGTGTCAGTAGAGGATTTGGTGGATTTTAGTTTTACAATCCACCACACTTGGGAGGTGTGGGTCGAACTGCGTTATCAGAGGTGTCCCTGGTGACCTTGCAGCAAACGATTGAGGAAACAGCTTCAATGGATGTGGACAAACTGCCATGAGTTCTTCTCCTAACCCCATGAGGCAGTGGGAGTGAAGAAAGGTGGGAGAGCGAGAATTGGGGAGGGGAAAAAAACAAAACATGGGCAGAAAAGAAACCCTGGCAATGGGCAATGTGGTGTGGACGGCATCCTTCCTGTGGGTTGCACAATTTAGGGGCGGTGCCATGAATCAAAGGCCATCAGAACTATGTCCACATGGAGAATCCTGTGAGATGTGTGGCTGCTTGGGCTTCCCCTGCACTGAGCCACTGTGCTTCATATGTAGCCGTGAGCATGGGCTGGGCGGATGCTTTGGGTGCTGCAGGTGGCGGTAACCGGAGCATGGCCAGCCTCACACCCAGGAGCCAACTTCGAATAGGAAATCCACCCCCCTCCCCTTTTAATGTTTGAGCAGTGAGCAGAAAGGCAGCCAAGACCAGAGGTGACAGCCAGGGGAAACCTGTGGCCCCGCTCATCTTTGAGCCCACTCTCAGGCCACCCGTCCCTTTCTCCCCAACCAGCCCCAGCCTTTAGTGTCCTCGGGACCTGCTCTTGTCATCACCCTCATCACACTGCTTCCTGGCTGGCAGTGGGTGGGTAAGGAAGCTCTGGGCCAAGGCCTGGGCTGGAATTGTGTGACCTTGGCCTACACACTCAGCTTCCTTGGTTCTGGGCTTTCTTACACACGACGTCATACACACCCAGTTTGTCACAAGGATTCAGTATGTGCTACTATCATCATATTATTTAATTAATTTTTTTCTAGAGCTTGTTCGGCTTTGCAGAGACCCCGTGTGAGAAAGAGTGAAAGCAGAAGGAGATAGCGGGCAGCCCAAAGCCCTTAGGCAAGGCAGGATCCAGGCCAGCCTGGGAGGATTCTCACTGTTTGGCCCTTTGCCTGTAAGATAATTTTTTCCTCTGTTTCCTCCTCTGTAAATGGAGGACCAGAACAAGAACTTATCTTGTTGGGTGTGTTTGAAAAAGGAGTGGAGATTAGATTTATCTTCAAGGGAAAGAACCCGTACTCAGAGAGCTAAATCTGATAGAAGCTTAGCCTTGAGGCCAGTGGTCTAGGCAGGGGCAGCCCTGCCCTGGGGGCTTCTCAGAGACCTGTGGCTGCCTTACCCCTGGATGGACATCTTCTTGTCCTGGTCCAAGATGGGCTCCATCATCCATGCCAGGCTCCAGGTGGTAGGAGGGAGAAGGACAATTGAAAATCAAGCAGTAACTCTGCAATGTGTCTTGAGGAAGTTTCTGGAAGCTCCACGTGACATTTTGCTAACTCCCCACGGACTAGAACGTACGTGACTTCATGCAGCCAGAGGTGAAGGAGGTGAAGGCTTTATTCTGAGCAGCCATGAGCCAGCCAAGAATGCCATTCCTTCAGAGGAAGGCAAGACTAGGTATCGGAGAGACGGAGAGACAGCCGGGCACACGCCCACCAGTCAATCCTCGGTGTGGAGTAAATTCACAACGAGACCCCTTCGTCCTCGTTATCATTATGCATCCTCTCACCTCTGCTGGGTGAAGACCAGCATGGCCCCCTCAGAGCAGGGACTCGCCTCCGAGACTCCCACACTTCCCTGCCTTAGATCGTAGCCCTCGTGCCCCTGAGCTGGTATGTGGAAGGCAGCCCTCCAAAGGCCTCACCTGGGGTTTTTTTAAGTGATCTGAAAGAGATCAATACAATTGTGTTATTCCCATAGATTGGGACATACCTGTATATTCCTTGGGATGGAAAGGTCTACAGTCTTCATGATTTTAAAATATAGTCTAAGCTTCTAATAGGCAGGCCAATACAGAGTTTAAAGAACACCTCCTAGAAGTATATTTTATCTGAATCGATTATGTGTGGAAATAAAAATGAGTTGGCAAAGTGAGTTGGAAAACTGCATAGTGTTTGAAAGTGTAGTTACCGGCCGGCGCCACGGCTCACTAGGCTAATCCTCCGCCTAGCGGCGCCGGCACACCGGGTTCTAGTCCCGGTCGGGGCGCCGGATTCTGTCCCGGTTGCCCCTCTTCCAGGCCAGCCCTCTGCTGTGGCCAGGGAGTGCAGTGGAGGATGGCCCAGGTGCTTGGGCCCTGCACCCCATGGGAGACCAGGAGAAGCACCTGGCTCCTGGCTCCTGCCATCCGATCAGCGCAGTGCGCTGGCCGCAGCGCGCCGGCCGCGGTGGCCATTGGAGGGTGAACCAACGGCAAAGGAAGACCTTTCTTTCTGTCTCTCTCTCTCACTGTCCACTCTGCCTATATAAAAAAAAAAGTGTAGTTACCAACATAGTGAATTTCACTATTTCACTTAAGTAAGAGATGGAATTTGCTCCATGTCACCGAACTGGGAGTGTGTATGTATGTTTTGAATCAGACACTTCAAAGTGATTGTGAAATATTAGATGTAAGTAAAGAGTGGTTTCCAAGTAAATTACATTCAGCAAGATCAAGACTGGAGTAAGGAGAGCGACACCGAGGGCACACAATTAAAGGAGATATCATTCTTGGGGTTCCACAAGCACCCTAAGTTTCTCATTCACCTGATTTTAGTCCTGCTCTTGCAAATCAATGTGTAGCTCATCGCTTGAAGGTGTTAGAAAAAAAGCTTTACTGTGACTCTTGTTTAATTGACAACTTTTAAGTATTTTGCTTTGAAGAATTCAAAATGTCTAAGAGCTTTTGGAATATTCTGTTTACAGTGAAAGAAATCATAGCAGGAAGAACACAGAAGTAATCTTAACAAATGGGAAAGCTCAGTGATACTAAAACTAAAATACTAAAAATATGTCTAAAATATAGCTCAGATGATACAAATGAGCCTCTTAAATGCTGTTGGGTAAGAAAACTGTTACCTTTTTAAATGATACAATAATTAACAGTATTCAATTGGTTCTGTTCTTTTCATGAATTTATGCCTAAAGAAATATTCGTATGTTGATTGGCAAACTAATATGTCTTCTCTTTCAAAGTTTCTTGGATTTTTGTTTGGAGGAGTTTTCAATTCAGAAATCAAACAGCGATCCCTCCAATGGGAGCCACTGGACTCTTAGCTCTTGGTGCTCACACTGAGTTCAGAATGGCAGCAACTGTTGCTTCTTGAGGGTAA